TATAGGTGACCTAAATCCAAGAGATGGGTACGGAGGCCCTTACCGTCTAGGAGAAGCGGTAACGGTAGCCATCCGGCGGAGCCGGCGGGGCCGGCGGAACGATCAGGATGGGACTAAATCCATGTGTACCGCCAGCGCTAACGCTGGTGGTACAATTAATGTTATTATTGCTTAATTTTTTAAAAGAATTGATTCATTCTGCTTGGTAACAGACAAAAAGATTGACATCTTATTAGATCAAATACCCATACATTACCTTCATTGCTTAAGTTTTCCTCAGCAAATACATCATCATAGTTCACTTCTGAAAATGAAATGGCACAGGTATATGTTTAAGATAGGTGAACACTTAACACTTGATTTGGAGAAATAAAAATAGATTAAATATCATTATCCTATTATAAAAACAGGTAAAATATTATCATCTTTCTACAATATCAAATCCACAATGATATGATTCCCAGAGGTACACTTTCATTTGGGCATCAACAGCAATAACTTGTCTGGCCAAAATATCATCATACGACTGCATATTTAAACAATTTACATGGCACAAAAAACAAATAAAGCTGTCAACCTGTATCCAGCTGCGGCAATGTCTTCTGCACATACGTGTAGTCAGATGGCAAGGATTTGTTCCTCTTAGGTTTGGGTGGCCTAGGTGGAGTACCCACACTTTTGTAACGTGCCACTTTCCTGTGATGTGCAAGATATTCACAGTAAAAAAAACACATACAATCAGATGACTTAGAAGAAAATGAAACATTACATACTTTACCATTGCATACTTTATAATTCAAATGAGGATTTTTAATAAAAGGTGCTAGATAAAAATGATGATTAGAACTAACACTGTACAATAATTGAATTTTTTTTTAAATTACAGTGAAAAATGTCTATTCTAATTAGGATTTTTTTAGTTGTTCTTTATTCTTAAACCATGGGTTACAAGGTATACTACACACATCTGAAAATGTCCCAAAGTCATGTTATTAAAGGGATAATAACTATTCCTTATAAATTTGGTGATACAATGTATCTATTTATAATGTAATATAGTAAAAGCTCAAATTGTTATTATTATTTTTTTACTTTAGAAATTATTCATTTTGCAAATAAACATCTTACCCAACTGGTAGAGGTGAAGAGGAGTCAACCTGCTCATACATTGCAGCCAGATTCTCCAGTTTCTTCACAGTATCCTTGTTCACTATTAACTCTGGACAGCGATCTACAGGGGACAAATGTAGAACATTGGGCTTAACCTCATCTACGCTCTTGGTATGGCGGACATAAATCTGAGTCCTCAGAGGTAGCCTGAAACACGTGTCACTTGAACGAACAAGAACACAGTCTTCCATTACAATACCTGTAAATGACATTATTTCCCCAACCTTCAGATGTGTTTGCAAGGGGTCATCTTCAGCAGGTAGGTGGGGATCCTCTGATATGATTTTTACCGTAGCTGGAAAATGGTGCAACTTTGATCGGAAATTTCCAAGGGAGAATTTAGAAGTTGATCTGTCTTCAATGGATTCACTCACTTTAAGATGGACAGATGTTGGTACCTGTATTTCTGTTATGACTTCTCCTGTCTGTTGATCAAGTTTCTGTATCCAGATGCACTCTACTTCTTCATCAGGACCACCCTCCTCTGGGCGGCTATAACACAGCTCATAACTCTTCACCCTTATACAGTCTCCTTGGTGGAAACCCTCCATCATTGGGGGCTCTGGGCATGCTGCCTCCATTACACGGAGGACACCTGTAGGCTTTGCATTTTGTAACCTTTCCATGGATTCATAGATATTTTCAATCTGACTAAATTCTCCCAGATAGTCAGTTGGAATGAGGAAAACCATGTCTCCTGACTGAGCTAATACCTTAGGGATATTTGGAACCAAATCATGCATCAATAAGTGAGTGCCAGGTTGGATGTTATTATTTTCCAAGACAGTTGTTGACTCATCCCATTCTGCTACTACCACATCTAAGGGCATAAACTGTACATTCTTTGACACAAATTCTTCCAGAGGATAATAAGTGATACTTGATCCACCATACATGCTCTCTCTAGGACTGACCTCTATACCTAAATCCAATGGTATCAGCACTGTTTCACCTGGGCTCTCACGAGGGCTGGCATTAACCACAAACCTGGGTTCTTCCATCCAGATGTCATCAGCATAATTTGCAGGCAGATTTGGTATCCCTTTCTTTGCACTCAACACCCCTGGTGCTAGTCTCAGTCTTCTTTTGTGGGGTAGATTTTCTACCATTTGTTTTACAGTGAAGTACTCACCAGTGTCCACCTCTGCAAAATTACCAATGCAGTACTCTGGTAGTTGTACTAGCTTTGACTTGCGTATGAGCAAACATTCAAGAAACTTTTCGCCGTTCAATTTTAAAACTCTTATGAGTTTGAGTTGTTCTCCCGCCTCAAATACACTAACCCCATCTTCTGCGTAGGCCAATCTGGCTCTCACAACAAACGGACGTTCATTTATCAAGTCTGCAACTGTTTTGTAAGAGTACTGGTAATTATCGTGAAATGGCAAAACTCTAAATTTAGCAGGGTGGCAGGTCGGTAAGGAAAAATGTATCGTCTTCCCATCCACTTGGCAATTCATCGTCACTTCATTGCGTTCTACCTCCACTTTGTTCAGCATGTAAACATCCCCGTTTGAAATATCTAGTTCAGAATACACTCCCTGTGTCACTTTTACCATCTGCGGCAGAGCATGAAACTCGACAAAATCTTTCAAAGAAAAAACATCTTCGACAAATGTATCATCCTCCCAATAATCTGAGATGTCGTCGTCTTCGCCCCCCTCCGCCATCTTAGTAGTGAAACAACGTACATGTAAGTAATTTTTTCATGCAGACCAAGCATAACATACATGTAGATCTAGGTCCAAGACAGCTGACAACAATCATATGACAACTGGATGACAAATGTAGCGTCATGGCGGTTATTTGAAACTTTTCAGTGGAGTCCGCGTCACGAAGTAGCGCCGTTTCGGAACATTTGACGTAAAAAAAACAGTACCTTGGCTACCTTGACTGACAAAGCGAAAGTAGTCCAATAACAATTACTTCCTCGTTCAAAACGAGGCTCTATGAACTTTCAGGCGGGATTGATCGTTGGGACTTCGATCTTAAACCACCATTATGTATTGCGAAAAGAGAAATAAATTTGCAACCCTGATACAGAGAAATCATGTAAACGAAAACCACCATTTGAGACATTAGATTTTGTTTTTGTTTTACAGTAGTAAATATAACAGGTGCGCTGAGTGCGCTAGCTGTGCTCATAGAAGTGTTGTGCTGAACAAAGTGTGCCTTATAACTATCAAGGTCAAGGCTAAACCCAAGCACATTGTTGAAAGTGGACAACTTCTCAATTTTATATGCAGTCAGTTTGAAGATGAACTAAAGCAGTTAACTGTGATCTATCAGCGCGGTAAGTTTGTTTCAGAGAATTGCTAGAGTTTTAAAACATGAAAAAGCTCAAAATTCGCGTCAGATGAGATATTTGCTACGAATGCAATGAGTGAGTCTGTAGGCTTTATGAGCAGGCTCAACCCGAATTTAGACCATTAATTGCGAGTGCTAACTGTAGTTACAAAGCAAGTGGAATATAAACGTGTTACACATATTTAACTGCATTTAATATTTTAAAGGTACATACGAACCGAGCATCGTTGGAGCGTGGATTCCCAGTAACACATGTAAACCACTTCTACTAGTTTCTTTTATGACTCAAATAAATTCGACATGCCAAGGGATAAAATGAATCGATCACTTGATCAGCCATAAAAGAGCTTTAGACTGCTCCTTTCTTTAAATTTTTGGTCAGAAATTTAACCATCTTTCGGACCTACTTTTCTGCCCCATTGGCATATACAGCATATAGAATACTAGCAGAAAAATCCATTCAAACATCATTTTCGGGTAAAATTAAACAGGGCCGTAGCCTGAGCAGAATGCCAGGGGGGGCAGTAAGCGGACACAAGGGGGCGAAGCCCCCGAGGGGGGAGGGAGTGTCCCCCTCCCACGGTGTGGAAAATTTTTAAAAACTGTTTGTATAATACTGCATTCTGGTGCATTTAACATGAGTGTATTTTTTCACAGAATTGATACCAATGTTGCAATTATTATTTTTTACCTTTGCGATTATTTTTTTTTGCACCTCAAATCCCAGGGGGGGCAACTGCCCCCCCTGCCCCCCTGTTAAACAATGCCTTTTGGTAATTCTCTTAGTTGTCCTACTTGAAACTATATGCTGGTATTTGGTTGGTTTTTGTGACAAAAAATTGACTTTGTATGCATCTTTAAGCCGTAGTTCTTACTAGAACTTTAAAATATTTAAAGCTGAACAGAACCTGGCCATCGAGTTTGGGATGCTTCAACAGCACCACCAAAAACGTGTTCTTTGTTCATACTAGTTAACACTTGCATTAGAAGTAATGATCGAATCATTTTAATCCTTTTTTGTTAAGCAAATCAACAACAACAACCAAGCTGTGTGGAGTGGCTACTTCAAGATGTGTTACAGATGGAGTAGACTTGCTGAGGCAAAAATGTATATACAAGGTTTGGAGATATCAGATGCCGTGGAGTGCCACTGTACACGAGCTCTCATAAGGTATTTGAAATACTATTAATTAAAAAGGGATTGCAGTATTGAAATGATGCTATATAATATCCTATCCATGTGTTTGAAGAAAAGGATGTTTGTTTTAATCACAGTGCAAAGAAGATCTGTAGAATAGATGGATCATTTGAAGTAAAAATCCGGTTGAAAAAATTAAAAGTTTATCAACACTTATGAATGTTGATGAAAGTGTGTTTTATGCTTCATCATGGTAAAAGGGACAGTGATTTATACAAGATGGGCATCTTTGGGAAACCAGTAAATGATGATGTTGATTGTACAAAGGCATACCAGGAACTAAAAGATGAAACCCCTGAAAACTTTGATGACAAACAGAGATTTGCAGAAGTGGATTCAAATTGCACAGGTAGTTTGGACTTTCTGTCAAGACATAATTATTCTAGTGCCTCCACACTCCTTACCCCTTTATTGGTGACCTTGGCCAAAATCACTTATGTTTACCCACCCTTCAGAGTGTTCTAAAATTGCTTCTATTGGATGTGAGACTACATTCTCTTGTAAATGTATTCTTAAGTTACTTAATCTAAATTACAGGAAATCTTGCACTTTTTTATGTGAAAAGGCCATTCATTTAAAAGATGCTGTTATAAAGTCACATTTGATTTTGCTTAACATTTTCATTGCAGATTTGAATGTTGATCTTGAAGTTGAAATGATGAAGAAGCTTGGCTTGCCAGTAGAGTTTGGTGCTGCTAAGAAAACTAACTCAAAGGTTGAGTGAATCTTTAGATGCTATTAAAACGATGGCAATTCTTAATGACATTCCGACTTTATTATAAGTAATAACAATAATAAAAAATTTAATGAACATTGAATATTGTATTTTTTTATATAACATGCTTGTCTCAGGTCATCATAGAATAAGATCTGAAACCGTATATTGTCTAATTAGAAGACCCTTTTTGTGGACTGTTATTATTTCAACAAAAGTCTAAATCTTTGTTGTCTACTTTTGATAGAAAAGAAGAAAAAAGCCAAGAAACTTAGAATCTGAAAGGTCTGAAGCTGACCCCCAAGAAGTGTTCACAACATCTCATGTGAAGAGCACAGAAATGTTCAACACAAATAATACCTACAGTGACCAGGTAGAGAAGCAGTGGCAGGCCTACTGGGCTCAGTATGGAGACCAGTTGGTGTGGCTGACCTGGCTGGAGAAATACCCAGATTACATTAACTGTGATAGCCTCAATCAGATGTCTGTCATGATGGAAGTAGAGATATCTTCATGTGAACAGACAGACAGTGTAAATTATGAGGATGAGGTAGTGGAATCTGCAAAGAATTGTTCTGACTCTCCTTCATCAGGGTGTGCACCAAAAACAAGTCAACATCAGTTAGAAGATGGAAATATCAGTGGATTAGCTTCACAGTCAAACTCTGATTCTCATGTGATTCACTCTGATGTTATGGTGCCGGTATCTACTGGAGATACACTTTCAGCTACCAGTGAGATTATTAAAGCTACTGATGTGAATGCCCTGTCACGTGACAAACACTCTGGGTCTGAAAATAGGGAAGAGGCAGTTTATCAAAATATTTCTAATTCTCACATGTCGCTACCAAAATTGAATACGGACCACAATGCTGAATTTGATTTGAAAATAGAAGTCACTATGAAAAATGTGACAGAAAAAATACAGGATCTGAATATGGGATGTTATGAGGAAGTGAATGGAGATTTGCCATGCAGTTCCCAAGTACAGGCAATACAGTTTTTCCATGACTATGCAGCACAATCTGATACTAATAATAACAGTGGTAATGCAATATCAGATGCTGCTGCAGCATCAGATTATGATTACCATAATTCAGACCAAGACAACACTTACGGAAGTGCACAGTTGAATGATGAAGAGGCATATGCTGAGGAGTGGAAATCTCTGTGGGATGAACATTATATGGGAGTATATTGGTATTATTTCACAGAGTTTAGTTCTGCCTACAGCAGAGTTGACAGTCAGTCTTCTGAACGAGTTGAAGAGCCAGAACAACTGCCATGTCTGGGCACTTGTCAACCAAATGGTCTGACACATGGTGTTGATCTGGTTGCTGATTGTGTGGAAAATGTTAACCAGAGTCTGTCAGAGAGTATTAACAATTCTGATGATAGAGTTGATGATGCTGATGATGAAGATGCGCCACAGGATGGTGGGAGTAAAAGAAATAGACCAAAGAGAGCTGGGCAAAGGCAAAAACAGGAGGGCAGCACTGGTAGGACATTTTAGTATGTTGTTAGAATTTACATGCTTTGTTTTATCATCTTTCTGAAATTAAGTGACGCAGGATCGTTCATTTGACTAGAATGCTTTTTAACTGTCTTTCATATATCATTTGAACTTCATTAATATGTTAAATGAAGTTCTAGACTTTTTGTTTATATATTCAGCAACTCATATTCAGCCTGCACATAAGCACAACAGTGGTAGTCTTTCAATCAGTGGAGAAGATGGAGATGATGAACCGCCAGAGGAAAGGCCATCAAAGACTATAAATGGGTAAAACCTCCTACGCTATGAAAAATGGCACATCAATAACTAATTTTGAGAAGTCAGTCAGTAATTAATATGGATGGCATGGAAATTTTGACTTTTAATTTTTGGTAAATAACAATGAACCACTACATAACTAGGAGATGCTGTAAGTTGTTTGAAAAAGCCACAACACACCTATGCCTATGATTGATAATGCTATCATTCTTTTAGTCTTAGATTTGACTTAAATCTATTATTAATACTATTTGATAGCCATGAAGCTGACATATATGATGAGGAAAAAGCTGATGAAGATGATGATGATGATGATGATGACCAAATAGATGAAGAAAATTGTACAGATGATTCTGAAATTGCAGAGAAAAAAAGGAAAAGAATGACAAGTGCTTTTGAACTTATGGGTTATAAATTAACTCCAAATGAGAACAGGTATTATTATATCAGATGGGATAACTGTTTATAATTAGAAAAAAGTGTGCTCTTTTGTTATTATTAAAGTAAAACTGGAATACATATTAACTTAATTATTTATTGTGAATGTCTGTGAATGAAATTTGACCACATTTCAAAGAACCTATTGCTCGAGATCTGCACTGAAAAGAAAAGCATTAAGTTTAAATTTATGATATTTTCAGGCTGGGCTCACAATCCAAGATTCAAGGAGCTCATGTCACATTCAAAGAAAAGAAACTAAAACAGGTTAACAAGGAACTCAACTTGGGCAAAAAACCTGTCCACATAAAATTTGACGAAGATGGTTCTATATTGAAAGAGAGCAAAACTTTGACTCAAGTTAAACATTTTCTTGCTAAAATGGAGGGGGACCCAACAGAACCACAGGTTGAGGATGGAGAGCAACCACAAACACAAAGTGGTACCACTGATTACATATCAGACACTGGTCATGTTTTTCTTCCACAAGATGGAGCAGACAGAGTTGCAATAGTGGATAATGAGAACCAAGGAGACGAAGATGAAGAGAAATCTGATTCTTCATTATCGTCTTCTTCGGATACAGAGAAGTTTGACAGACTTGAAAGTAGTGGGCAAGTAGGTGTAGTTGTGAAAGATAGCAAAAGGCAAAGAAAGAAACTACATAAAAGAAAATTTACTCCAATGCCAGACTCTATTGCTAAGGACCCAGAGTTGAGGAAATACTGGGCACAAAGATATAGGCTTTTCTCTAGATTTGATGATGGAGTGATGTTAGACAGAGGTAATGTTGTAGAGCATTTTCTTCATATAATTTTTTTTTTTGCGTTGTAACACCTACAACTTTTCTGAGATATTTTGTTAGATGCATTTGTCTGAATAAATCTTAACTTAGGTATACCAAGTTATAATTTTAAAGATGAAAATGTTGTAATTTTTTAATTGATTTTTTATTTTTATTTTTTTTTTGTAGAGGGTTGGTTTTCTGTTACTCCTGAAAAGATTGCTGAGCATATTGCTGAGAGATGTCGGTGTGACCTGATAGTTGATGCTTTCTGTGGAGTTGGTGGAAATGCCATTCAGTTTGCTTTGACTTGTGAAAGAGGTACCTTTTGTGTTTTGCAAGGTCATTTTGAAGGATTTTCACTGATGCAGAATTAGGTCATTTCCTATTGGATTTTATGCAGGCACTGGGTTGTACAAAAAAAAAAAAAAAACATCATACATTTGTCAGTCTCAGGTGACTTTTTTTTAATTATGTTACAGTTTCACATTTGTATTTATGCAAATAGTTAGTGTGTAGTAATGTCTTGCCGATTTCTTTCTCACTATTCCTTGTTTGCTCAAAGTAGAATATGACTCTCCAAGAAAATTGCTCATTTTAATAGGATGTATTATTTTTGTCTTTTTTGTAGTGATAGCAATTGACATAGACCCAGTGAAGCTAGAGTGTGCCAGACACAATGCGGAGGTGTATGGTGTGGCTGACAGGATTGAGTTTATCCAGGGTGATTACATGGAAGTGGCCACAGAGCTAAAGGCAGATGTGGTCTTCCTGAGTCCGCCCTGGGGAGGACCAGACTACCTCAATGCAGAGGTCTTTGACCTCCACACTATGATCCAGATTGATGGATATCCTTTGAAAACTGTATGGCATTAAGCTTAAATAGGTATCAGAGACGAAAAGAAAAAAGAAATATTGAGCTACCATCTGTGTGCTTACAGAGGCACACAGATCCTTTTTTTATATCATTAACATTTATTTAGTACAATATAACATGTTCTCTGTGGGAATTAATTGAAAAAAATGAAATATTAAATTGATCTTATGCTATTTGTTAAGTCTTGGTAATTGTGAGTTAAAAATTAAATTGATAACCCCTAAGTAAGAATATTTTTTCTAGATGCCATGGTTCAATTTTTCCAACATAAAAACGTGTGTGTGTGTGTGTGTGTGTAAACCAACTGTTTGTATTATCCTTAACATTCATACATTTGCCATATTTGAGAAAGCAAAGAAAATATCAAACAACATTGCTTATTTTGCACCCAGGAATGTAAATGTGGAACAGGTAACGGAACGTCTTTATTTGAAAATGATGTATGTAGCCTAGGTGTGTGGCATAATGTTCACTTTAAGGGAGGATTTAAAGGAAACTGGGACATATTGCAGAAACAAATGTTATAAATGCTCAAGTCTGATAAAAACTTTGACCTTTTTTATCAAAATATGAAAATAATTTTTATATTTGCACATTTCATTTCAGTTGATCTCCCTTGCTGGTCCAGGTGGTAAGGTGGAAATAGAGCAGAATTTCCTGAACAAAAAGCTTAAAACGGTGACAGCTTATTATGGAGATCTCATAGATGCCAACACCAGTGATTAATGTAGATTTAGTTTTATACTTCAGACTGTTTAATTTTTAATGTGTACACAGTGCACTTTTTGAACAAATGGCAATCATTTTATACCTGCTAGTTTTTAGTATAATGTACAGATAGCGATGTCTGTGCGTGCAGCAATCACTTCCATCTGTCCATATTGCTGTAATTTGCACCAAAAATTATACAATTCACTAGGTAATGTTATCTGATGATTCATGCATTTATCTATTTGGTGAAGTTGCTTGATTGGATTTTTGAAAAAAGTTTTGCATATTTTTCTTTTTGGTTTTATTTTTTTTATTATTATTATTTTTTTTGGCATGTTAGTTTTTGTTACCAGCAGGGTTGGAAACTCCTCTTAACATTCAACCAGACAGCAGGACAGGTTACTCTTGAAAGTTACCCGTCCTACCATAAACCAGCCTGTCCTCATAAAATCGACAGAACTATGATAATAGAATGCATGTATGACTAAATTTAATAATTCAAGACATTTTTGAATGTTGTTTTCTTTCAAACTTCATAAATAAAAGTCATAATACCAGTGCTGTCTTTATACCAAAGAATCAAATTAATTTTTATATTCAGTTATGGTCTGTACCCCCACCCATACATCATGGATTGCAAAAAAAAAAAATAATAATAAAATAAAAATAAAATAGAAAAATAAAAATAAATAAATAAATAAATAAATAAAATAAAAAATAATAATAAACATATATATGCACCTTACCTAATATCTATTAAAACAAAATTATAGCAAAACCGTTTGCCAGAAACAAAATGCACAATACTGTAGTCAATACAGTCAGTACTGAAGAGCAAGTATTTTAATTTAACTGAAGTATCTACTTCACTGCAATTTTCATGAAAGGAGCATTAAAATTCAAAACTTAACTATCAAATCATTGGCATGGTAAGCAGGAAAATAGTATCAGTTTGGTGAATAAAATTGGTGAATGTCAACTGCAAGTCACAGTGCTTGTCCTGGCATATGAAAACTTCACTTTACCAAAGATCAAGTCATTTTGTTTGAATTGTTTTAACTCTTCAAAATATTAATTGAAAAACCCCTGCATTTACTCATGAGATTTTTGCTAAATAAATTCCCTTAATCATCTCCACCAGATGCACTGTAGTCATTATCATCCCTCTCTTCCATGTCTGAAAAATCTGACTCTTAGTCCAAGTCAACAGATTTTGTTGGCTGCTCACTTGGCACCTGAACGCTGGTGCCCTCCCTTTTACCCTGCTCCACATCAACAATAATCTCCTCAAATGGGTCAACAGTACATTTGGGCTTGCATCTTTCCATGAAAGTTGGCCTTCTTCTTGCACCAGTGCACCACTGAGTTATTGCTGGTTTGGGATCAAATTCTTGAATTGTGCTTGAATGAAGGTGGATTGACATTAGCAGAGTCATAGATGATGCTTTCAACTTGTTTCTCCATTGATTCTTGATCATCTTCATCTGGGAAAACCCACGTTCACACTCTACTGTACCAGCATGCAGTGACAGAACTAAATCAACTAAACCTAATACATTTGAGCACCGCTCTCCATACAGCTCATTGATTTTGGTCCACGACATGCCATGCACCTTGTATTTCATTTGCAAAACAGTTAAAACATGAACTCTTACCAATACTGATCCTGTACACTCTTAATAATATATAGTTCTGTTAACCTTGAATATGCAACCTACTTTTTATACAGTAAATTCTTCAAAACTATCCATTCTGGCTCAATATTAAATGGATTACAAATGCTTGGTAACATTGGTAATATGATAAAGAAGACAATGTGGCGAGCTAATATAGCGTACATTGTCTTCTACGTCTTTAGAAACACTACGAAAGTTTCTTGGCCTTCCTGAAAAAAATCATGAAAAGCGACCAGCGATGGAGGTCCGTAAAGACTACAACCAAAATAAGCGGACGATTGTTCCAAGTTGGAAAGCAGAGTTTAGTTGGCTGATATGTAACGAAAACTGTCAAATTTTATATTGCAACACGTGCCGTTCAGTTTACGGCCCGCTTTCGTCAAGGAAGAACATTCCGGACAAATTTAACCGGTTTAAAAATGGACTCTTCATTAAAGGATGCCAAAATTTAAGGCACCGTGAATGTACGCTACATTAGCTCGCCACATTGTCTTCTTTATCATATTACCGATGTTACCTTGCATTTGATTGGCTTATTGCAGCGAATCTTCCCGCGACAAAAGTCGGAAGTAGTCATTTAATGACGTATCAGCGACCTATATTCCCATATTTGGAATGTTCACATGACTTATTGGTTTATTGCAGTGAAATTTCCCCGCGGTAAAAGTCGGAAGCACTCGATGTAATGACGTATCTCTGACCTATTTTCCCATATTCGGAATGCTCATGTGATTTATATTTTAAAAACACTTATATATAGGTAAATGTGTGAAAATCAAAATCAAGAAAGACGCGATGTTTCACGCTCAGATCTACTAACGACATCAAAGTGCGGCCCGACCACAGGACGGTCTCCAAATTATTTTTACCCGTCCTTCATGAAATTAGACCGTCAAGGACGTTGGGACGGGCAGTTATTTCCAACTCTGGTTACCAGGATATCAAGACAACCAGTTTTCTTCTGATTTAGAGTCCAGGTAGTGATCCATGGGTCTAAGCTATAGGGCACACTTGTCACATCAATATCAGTGATCTCTTGGCCAGTAGTTGAGAAGAAAATCTGTTTTGTTAAGAGCTGTTGGCCAAGTGAAAGATAATGTTTTTTATGGGGTCTTAATTGTGGTGACTCAACAACCTCATTAATTTTGCTTGTGGTAAAATCTTCTATCCAGGTGAATAATCCAATGTGCCTATTTTTGACCTTTAATTTTTCTGAATGTGTACATTTCAATATATTCTTGAATGATGTGACATTTTCCTTGGCTCTACCCAGATTTGATTCACTTCTTACTGACCATAATTTTTTACATGCATGAATCTGTCTATAATCAGCAGAAAGCAATCTCAAAACAAAGAGGATGCTTTATACTCATGGACAAGCTGTTATGCATCTCGAATTCAACCTCCTTGTTTCTCCTTATACTAATAGTTTATTAAGACCAACATTGTTTTCTGGCTTTTTCTTTTATCTTTGATGTATTTTATTCTCAAAGTGGTTTTCTGTGAGGGTTTTTGCCTTACACCTGTCTGGGCTGGATGAAGGACAATGCAGTCTTCTAGTTCTGCTCAATTATGGGGTAGGCAGGACTTGCCCAATCTGACCTATAGGACTGCTTCTTCTGGTCTGGATACATTAAAAAGTTGTCTCTCTTGCTGAAAAGACTGCCAAATATATGCTGAAAGCTGACTGCCATTGGACAAAGGTGATGGGGGCATTTTTTCTGGACTGGTTCCAGTATCATGTGGAGATTACCATCAGCATCTGATTTACGTTTTTGGACAAATTGTTTTTCTGGTAAGGGGTCATTGAGACTGAGTGTATTGGAATTTTTGAAAAGGAGATCCTTCAAAAAATTCATTTGTCTTCTTTAGTCCATTATCCTCCATGTTCTTTTATATCAAAGATAAATGTTGCTTTCTTGCACTGCCTTTCTCTCTTATCTTTAGTATATTTTATTCTTGAAGCCATTTTCTATAAGGATCATTGCCTTATACCTGTATGGACTGGATGAAGGACAATGCAGTGTTTAAGTTCATCCCAATTATGGGGTAGGCAGGAATTATGGGGTAGGCCCAATCTGACCTCCTACAGGATTGCTACTACTGGTCTGGGTACATGAAAAAGTGCCTCTCTTAGTTTTGATTTGATCTAATTGATACTTAAAATGTGAATTAAAAGTCTATGGAGTCTTACTAACTAGTTGGTAGCATTTGTACTGCCAAACTCTTGCAACCTGGACACAGGGATCGGCTCTTCTGGCCTAATGCCATAAGCTTTCCAGCAGCAAATCCCCTCCTGAGGAAATTCAAAGTTTTGAAATGAGCTTACTCCAGTCCACTGACAGGGTTAACTTAATACACCACTGGGTAGCAGCCATGAGCACCAGAAGACCAAAGAGCAATGTACATTTGTTGGGCACTGGTAACATTATGCCTCTTTAGCAGAGGTGCAGCGTTGGACCCAGTGGATCATTTGCCCTTCTTTGGTGCTGGTTTCAGTGGAGAAGCTTTCAAAACCCCCCTGTCTCTCTTTACATTTCTGAAGCCTTACTGAGACACTGTTCTAGTGAGCATACCCATTTGGTCAACATCTCTTTGAGGACCCTCTTGTATGTAAGATCCACCATTAGCTTCACAGAAATTAATGTGCTCTTGAATTTACTGTGCCGCAATGGCAAGCCCAAATTGAGAGAAAGCTTGTCTTCATCAATGGCAGTGTCCTGAGGTGACTCTTAATGTACAGAGGGGTAACTCTTGAAGTTCTCAGTATTTTTGATTTGAAGAGAGACCTCAGGCATTCTGCCTTTTTGCTGACTCTGTCACTAGCTGGATGTTTAGCAGCAAGTTTTGGTAGAGGTGCAACATTAGACCCAGTGGGCCTTTTGAACTTCTTCTTTGGAAGGGGTTTTAGTGGGTAAGCTTCCCCCCATCTCTCTTCACCATATATATATAGGTTTTTTTTTTTTTTGTTATATTCTTTACGCTGAATTGGCTGTGTGGACAACCGCATGCCCATACTTAATGTCAATGTACCAAACAAGGTATCTGGGTAACTTGCATGTTGGATCAGACAAGATCCTGTCTGCACCCTGCCAAGTGGAAGATCCACTTCCGGATGGGTTTCCTGTAGTAAATACTCCAGTGCATAAACCAGATGGTACTAGAAGTATTCTAACTTGTGCCTCAATATCCAGTATCCTCCTGGATACTAAGCAAAAATATAACAAATATTATTTTAAAACTTACCAAGCATTGCCCATGGGGTTGGCTTCCCAACAATTCTTCTGCCCTCTCAAGAGCAACTTCACTAGAAGTAGGAAGATCAAATTCTTCAAGAAGTTGCTCTTCATTTGTTTCCAGTGAAGCTGCTGCTTTGTCAAGCAACTTTTTGAGGTATATGGTGTTGGTCTTCACCATACCTTTTAGCACCTCAACTTCAGTGAGCATTTTCTTCATGCTGAAATGGGGGGAAAAATGTCAAATATCCCATCTGAACCCTGCCAAGTGGAAGATCCACTTCCGGCCTGGGTTCCTGTAGTAATTACTCCATTGCCGCCCCTTTCTTCTTTTTCAGTTGTAATATTTCAGATTGTGCGGTGACGGGTATTCTGTAATGAAGGACAAGTTTATTTAATCTAATTCTTCTAATATTTTATCTACTAAATATGCTTATGTAGTATAAAATGAACGTACGGGGGTATATATTATATTTTAAAGAATATTCAAAGCAGTACATACTTTTCTTGTAATATGGCAGTATACACAGGCTTTCTTTTCCTGTCAGAAGCAGATTTGGCCTTTGACACAATCATTGCCATAACTGGTGCAGGGGAGAATTTTTTTACCCTCTTGGTTTGTGCCACTGTTGTGGCAAACTGGTG